AGGGCCGGGCACATCTCTGCCCTTCGTGCTTCTAAAACCTTGAGCCACCCCTGGTTCATGCGTGTGCGCTTGCAGCTCCTGGATCCTGTCTGGGGGCTGGACTAAAGTCCTTTCCCTGCTGCTACCCGTCTGTGAGTCTGTGCCCGATCCCCAGTGCAGGATGCTCTTGCATTCCCATGTTATCTCACCTTCCTAGCGCCAGCTTATGGTGGCTCCCTCCCCTTTCTGTTTATCTTCCAATGTCTGCCCGCAGAATCACGGCTCCGCGCTTCATACCTGGGGACAGGTCATGTTTTTCTGCTTGTAGAGATCCCGATGTATATTCTTACATCTCAGGCTGATTTTGTGGCTGTTCAGAATGGTTTGGTAGATATCCAGCTAAATTCAGGGGACTGTTGGAATAGGGTCCCCTACTCCTCCCGCCATCTTTCTAATGCTGTGTTCTTCTAAGTGAAAGAAGTGGCATCCAATTCAACTTGTCCATTCATAATTATATCCTAGGATTAAGGTGGTGTCTGCCAGGTTTCTACACTGAGAGTTACTTTTTTCCACTTTGTATTAATGATTATTTTGTGAGGAGGTAGTTTGAAACTTGATAAGTATCCATTATTTATCACACTTTCTGATTATTCATTTATGAATTTATATCAGTATGGATTGGTTCATGGCTTCTTTTTTTAATTAAATGTATTATAATCTACTTTATTTATTTTGATATTAAAATTGTTTCATATTTGATTAGTGGGGACCTTTTTATTGCTAGCTCTTGTGTCATTTAATCGTATTTCCATTATTCTTTGAGCGGTTCCTTGCTTTCCGGCATAAACTGGTTTGTGTTCATTGTGTGCTTTCTCTCAGCTGTGCACTTAGCCATTTCTCCAAGGAGCTAAGGTTCATTTAGTGGTGAATGTTGTTTTTTTTTTTTTAATTTTTAAATTGAAATATAACTGACACATAACATTATTTTAGTTTCAGGTATACAGTATAATTATCCCATATTTATATATATTGTAAAATGATCATCACAATAAGTTAACACCTATCACCACACAGTTAGTTTTTTTTTCTTGTGATGAGAACTTTTAAGATCACTTCTCTTAGCATCTTGCAAGTATATAGTACAATACTAACTATCGTTACTATGCTGTACATTATATTTCCATGACATTATCATTCCAGTTATAATTGGAAGTTTGGACCTTTTGACTACCTTCACCTATTTTGCCCAGCCCCTACCCCTACCTCTTACAGCCACCAGCCTGTTCTCTGTATCTGCTCAGTTTGTATCTGTCAGTTTGCTGGGGTTTTTTGTTTTTGTTTGTTTGTTTTTTAGATTCCACATATAAATGAGATCATGTGCTGTCTGTCTTTCTCTGACTTATTTCAGTTAGCATAACGCCCTCAAGGTCCACCTATTTTGTTGCAAATGGTAAGATTACCTTCTTTTTTATGGCTGAATAATATCCCATTGTATATTTATGTCACATTTTCTCTATCTATTCATTCATCAGTTGACAGGTTGTTTCCATGTCTTAGTAAATAATACTACAGTGAACATGAGGGTGCAGATATCTTTTTGAATTAGTGTTTTCATTTCCTTTGGATAAATGCCCAGTAGTGGAATTGCTGGATCATGTGGTAGTTTTAGTTTTAATTTTTGGAGGAAACTCGATATTGTTTTCTATGGTGGCTGCATCAGTTTAGGTTCCCAGCATCAGTGCAATAAATTCTATTTTGATATCAAGATTTGTACTCTAGGTGTGATCAATAAAGAGATCTAGGAATATGTGTATATGAATCTGTGTGTATGTATGTATGCTGTAGTTAACCACATGTGTGTATCACAAGAGATCATTGAGTGAATGATAGAAAAATAAGTAAAGATTCAGTTGAAAGGTAAAGTCTTTTATTTATTTATTTATTTGTTATTTAAATTCAATTAGCCAACATATAGTACATCAGTAGTTTCAGATGTAGTGTTCAGTAATTCATCAGTTGCATATAACACCCAGTGCTCATCACATCACGTGCCCTCCTTAATGCCGGTCACCCAGTTACCCCACCCCCCACCCACCTCCCCTCCAACAACCTTCAGTTTGTTTCCCATAGTTAAGAGTCTCTCATGGTTTGTCTCCCTCTCTGATTTCTTCCCATTCAGTTTTCCCTCCCTTCCCCTATGGTCCTCTGTGCTGTTTCTTACATTCCACATATGAGTGAAACCATATGATAATTGTCTTTCTCTGATGGGCTTATTTCACTCAGCATAATACCCTCCAGTTCTATCCATGTCGATGTAAATGGTAAGATTTCATCCTTTTTGATGGCTGAGTAATATTCCATTGTGTGTATGTGTGTCTGTGTGTGTGTGTGTGTGTGTGTGTACCACATCTTTGATAAAGTCTTTTTTTTAAGATTTTAATTAATTTATTTAGAGAGAGAGAGAACATGAGTGGGGGGGGAGGGCAGCGAAGCGGGGAGAGAGAATCTCAAGCAGACTCTGTGCTGAGCATGGAGCCCAATGGGGGGCTCAATCCCACGACACTGAGATCATGACCTGAGCTGAAATCAAGAGTCAGACACTCAACCAACTGAGCTACTCAGGCGATCTGAAAGATAAAAAAATTCTTTAATGACCAGGGATATGGAAATACAGAAATGGAAATATATAACTAGTTCTGGAGAGAATATAACATGGTCCAACTTCCCAGATGCCCAAGTCCCCTCATAGGCATGTAAATATGGATAAAACCACCACAGGGGAGAAGCTTCTGTTTATTGTAAGAAGCTTTCTTTGCCATATTCATGGGCTAGGTAGTGGGCGGAAGGAATCTCACTCTCTCTCCCACACACCTAACTCTGTGGAGATTCAGGCGATGTGCCTGCTTACTCATAAGGTGCAAGAGCAAGCCCACCCCATTCTGCAGTTTTCTGTGAAGCTGGGATAAACAATGGCCAATATCCCAGGAGTACCTCCCAGTGTCCCAGATTTCCTTCTGTGTTTATGTGAAAGTATAGATCTTAAACACACTTTATACTTAATCACAAAATAGTTCTTAAATAGATATTTTTTCCAGAGAGGGTATCGGCATGGCCAGCAGGCATGTGAAAAGATGGTCAGTGTCACTCATCATCAGGAAAATGCAAATAAAACCACAATGAGTTACCATCACCTCACACCTGTTAGAATGGCAAGAAAAAAGGAGACAACAGGTGCTGGTAAAAGGTGAAAAGGTAGTCCATATACATTGTTAGTGGGAAACAGTATGTAGTTTCCTCAAAAAATTAAAAATAGGTCTACCATACAGTCCAGCAATTTCACTTCTGGGTGTTTATCCAAAGAAAAAATGGGATTTTTTTTTTTTATTTAATAATTTTTTTTATTGTTATGTTAACCACCATACATTACATCATTAGTTTTTGATGCAGTGTTCCATGATTCATTGTTTGTGCATAACACCCAGTGCTCCACGCAGAATGTGCCCTCTTTAATACCCATCACCAGGCTAACCCATCCCCCCACCCCCTCCCCTCTAGAACCCTCAGTTTGTTTTTCAGAGTCCATTGTCTCTAATGGTTCGTCTCCCCCTCCGACTTACTCCCCTTCATTCTTCCCCTCCTGCTATCTTCTTCTTCTTCTTCTTTTTTTTTTCTTAACATACATTGCATTATTTGTTTCAGAAGTACAGATCTGTGATTCATCAGTCTTGTACAATTCACAGTGCTCACCATAGCACATACCCTCCCCATGTCTATCACCCAGCCACCCAATCCCTCCCACCCCCCACCACTCCAGCAACCCTCAGTTTGTTTCCTGAGATTAAGAATTCCTCATATCAGTGAGGTCATATGATACGTCTTTCTCTGACTGACTTATGAAAATGGGATTTTGATAAGATATATGCACTCCCACATTTATCACCACATTATTCACAATAGCAACAACCCAAATGCCCATCAACAGATGAATATTTTAAAAAGGTGTGGTACATACATGAAGTGGAATATTCAGTTACCGGAAAGGAGGATGTCCTGCCATTTACAACAGCATGGGTATATCTTGAGCAGAATATGCTAAGTAGGATAAGTCAGAGAAAGGCAAGTACTATATGATATCACTAATATGTGGAGTCTAGGAAGTCAAACCTGTAAAAAAAAAACCCAATGAAATGGTGATTAACAAGGGATAGGATGTGTGTGGGGGTAATATTTATAAAGTTTAAGGGTACAAACTTATAACAAGTAGTAAATAAGCCATAAAGATATAAAAATAAATTAAAAGGGAAATGCTAAGCAAAGCATACTTGAACCAGAGAGCTTTAATTGTACTTTAAGTTTTTCTTGGTGGTTTTGTTTTTGTTTTGTGGACAAAACAAAAGAGGTCAGTAATACGGGGGGAATGTGTATGAGAAAAATAGACATGTGAGACTAGTTGAGAATAAAGAGCTATCGGGGGGGGGAAGTAGTTCTGTACTTTGTGAAACTTCTAGCCTAATAAGAAAAAGCCACCAGAGGAAAACTTTTTAACAGCTTTATTTTATAATCCAAAATTTTGGTTATGAATATATTGTTTATCTTCCCTTCAACCTGGGTAATTTGAGAAAAATCACTTGGTTCTTCCAGTTCTTTGAAATAAGGAGTCTAATTTAAGCTCCTCTCCAGTCCCCACAGTTCCTAGTCTTCTCCGTGTTTCTTAGATTTTTATGCTGCGCTGTCCCCTTCTGGCTAGAAGAGAACTTAACACTCGGCTCAGACACTTCCCTGATCTCATCTTGCCTTTGGGGCAGGTGGATGCCATCTTGCTTTCTTAGATTTTGATTTCTCTTTCAAGCCTGGCACTGGCACCACCTTCAGCTGGGGTCTGTAAGGGTGCAGGGGTACCACGGGTGGTTCTGCGGTCTCTGTACCCTGTGCTGGGCGAAGACAGACCTAGAATCTGGGATGCACATCTATACACAGCTGATGATGACTGCCTTTTTCACTCCCATTTTTTGTCATGACAGGGAAGGTCTTGCATGAGGAGCATGTTGAACTCTTGATGGAGGAGTTTGCATTCCTGAAAAAAGAAGTGGTGGGGAAAGACCTGCTGAAAGGTTCTCTTCTCTTCACAGGTCAGTTTGAGGTGGGATCGCAGGTCCTGTGGATCGGGGGAGGCTGGTAGGCCAACTGGGTTCTTCCCTAGTTCTCTAGGATCTTAGTTTGGATTCATTTTCGCTAAAGACTCTCGGACTGATTTAATATTATCTTCCCATGCTGCCACAAACAATAAAAATACCTCTTTTCCTTCTTTCTTCAAATGAGATTTAAGTGCTTTGGTAGGCCTTAGGTAAAAAGTATGTTAGAAATTTTACATTTACTAATGCTTCCATCCCAGCCTATTAGGTGTAGAGTTTTCCTCATTAAATTTTAACAAATTGGAGATTATTTTTCCGTAGGAGGTTCAAAATGGACTGAGACAGGTTCTTGGGGAGAGAACATTTTTATCCTCTTTGCAGAGCCAACAGAATATGCATAGCCCCTTTCTTCCTCCAATAAGTTACGAGGACATTGGCTGCAGCCAGAATATTTGACCTACTGTATATCTGATTATTTGTATTGGTCATTATTTGAGTAGCTCCATTAGCAATAGGAAATGAGCATCCTTGAGGCTCCTGCTCTTAGGGTGACCTTTGTATGGACTCCTTATCTGGCTATACCCTAGGGTATCTGGGCCACCTCTCCTGAGGGCTCTCCTTATGGAAGCAAAACCCTGACGTGGCCAGGCATTGTTAAGTGGCAAAACCATTCATCTCATGAACTTCCAGGAAATAACAGTAGAACATCATTTCGAAATCCACCTTCATCCTTTAAACTAATGATAGGGTTGTTGTAACAAATAATAACCATTAATCTATACAAGGAACTGTGCTAAGTATGTGACATGCACTCGTTCATGTTAATTCATATGACAGTCCTATAAAGTGGGTATTTATACCCCCATTATACAGGAAAAAAGGAAGATCAGAGATGTGAGTAGCTTCACAGAGTTGACAAAAACAGCCAAGTGGCCAGGCCAGGTTGGAGCTCAGGCCTCTGACTTCATGGCTCAGACATTTGATTGCCGCTGTGTCCTCTCTGAACAACAAGAGCAAACAGTAACCGGCCGAGAAGGAGAAACCTTTCTTTTGTGAGTTTGATACCTAGGTCCTAGCACTTCCAAACCATGTTGCCTATGAGACTTATAATTTTGTTGGCTTTTATTTATAACTTAACCTTTTTTAAAGCATAGGCATAATTATGAATTTGAAGTCAGTATCAAATTTATAAGAAATCATTGGTTTATAAACAATGTAACAGGTATGTAGTCTTTTAAATTTGGATTGTGTTTAAAATTTGGGCCGGGGACAGTCAGGAGCAGTATCTTGACCACACGTATTTCTCACACAAATATTCTTTTGAATGTGCTTTGGTATAGGAGATTATGAAGACTGAGAAAACACAACACTGTATCACTTCCATTGATATTGACATAGTTTGGAGGCATTGCTCTTTCCTTGGTAGCTCTCATGGCGCCTTCAGCCTATTGTCATTTACACAGATAGTTACACGGTATTTATCGGAGTATAGACTCGGGCTGAAATACCTCGATTCTTCTTCTTGCACAAGACTTCTTTAAATCACTGACTGAAGACGGTGTTGATGTTTGTATATATAAGTGTACATGTGTTTACTATACGTAAACTATACATCATATATGGGTATATCTAATATATATATATTAGAAGCCTGAAATATTTTTATTATCCTGCGGGCTAGATGGACTACTGTTTCCAATAAAAGGTCTTATCTTCCTAACAAAATTGAATTAAATAAACAAGAAAAAAGAGAGATGCTTTCATGAAAGTTTTCATTCAGGCACCTAAATATTCGGAGTCATCTTGCACACCACGCGGGGAGGCAAGGTCACCCTGCCACAGCCACCCTGCCCACAAGCTCCCTCTGCCCTCCACCTTACTTCCCAGTTCCCATGGTATTTGTGATTCTCCGCAGCTAGCCCACTAGAAGAAGAGCGGTTTGGCTTCCCTGCGTTTAGTGGCATTTCTCGCCTGACCTGGCTGGTCTCCCTGTTTGGGGAGCTCTCGCTTGTATCCGCCACTTTGGAAGAGCGAAAGGAAGATCAATATATGAAAATGACTGTATGCTTGGAGACAGAGAACAAACGGTAGGTTGCGAGAAACTGAGGAGCAGGAAACTTGAAGACATTGTCCTGTGTTCCCAAAGGAGAATCTAGACAAAGCCCAGAGGGCCTAACCCCCCCCCCACCAACTCTGGAAGGGCTGTCTGCTTTTGTAGACAGAAGAGGTGCTGCGATTTCACTTATGTTGCTTCATTTCATCCTCACAGCAGCCTTGGAAGGTAAATAAGACAAACGTGAGCCCCTTGCCAGTCAGTAAATAGAGGCTTACAGAATTTGGGCAGGTTGTGTAAGCCACACAAGTAAGCAGTACCAGAGGTGGTAGCAGAAATCCAGTTACTACCTCCATGACCCGAATGTTTTCCAGCATTTCATTATGAAAGTTTCAGACATACAGTGAAGTTGGAAGAATTTTGCCGTGCATACCCAAATTACTACCTAGATCTTGCCGTTGACATTTTACCCTGCTTGTTTGTTATCACATGGCCAATTATCTCATCCCTCAGTGACCAAAATTTAAAGTTTTGTTTCTCAGCTTTATATCATACTGTCATACTGTTCCCCAAATGTTCTAATTCTTTATTTTTTATACCAAGGCTTTTAAAACAAAAGCACATTCATAGTTTTCCTTAAAAAGCACTTAGGCTCTGTAAAATATTTAAAACAGCAAGTGTTTTGTGGTGTTTCTATAGGTGTTCCCAGGTAGGTGGGTCTCTTGGTAATAAACAGGTGGGCATTTACAAAAAGAGAAAAGTGTTTGAGTTCCTGAATGAAGCCTGATCTATGACCATTTGAGGAGTTTCCTCTTTGCAAGGGAAAGGCAGAAGTCACAGATGAAGGTCAAGTATGCAGAGCTTCGAAGTGCTGCATTTGGAGGAATCGCACTGGTAGACCCTGGCTCTGACCACCAGCATTGTGTTAGAATTGCAGCTATGGTCCGACCATCCCCACAGACAGGTGCAGTCTCCTGTAGGCAGAGCTAAAGGTCGCTCAGGGTGCTGCAGGAGCACAGGAAAGGGGAACCTGGAGAGGTCAGGTCATGCTTCTCAGAGGAAAAGGTGCTTTGCTCAGTCTTGAAATTTGAGTAGGAGTCAGACAGGAAACAAGATGTGAGGGAAACAGAGACTGACTTGCATTATTGCAAAGGGGAGGCAAGCATCAGGTGAGGGCTTGGGGCAGATGGCAAACACCATATTATAATAAATTCTTAATTTCATATAATACTTTCTACTTCACAGATTGTACTTTTAATCTCACACGACCACAACTGCACAGGGAAAGTGATAGACTTCTTATTCATGTTCACTGGTTAGGTGGATCAGAGTATTTTGAATATCTCAAACTTATTTGTATTCAGTGTTAAAGCAGTGAATAAACAGCATTAATGTTAATTTTTGTCATCACATTATGAAATGTTTTAAAGCCCGTGTGCTTTTAAAACTAGCTGTGGGCAGGGCGCCTGGGTGGCTCAGTCGGTTAAGCATCTGCCTTCGGCTCAGGTCATGATCCTGGAGTTCTGGGATTGAGCCCCACATCGGGCTCCCTGCTCCATGGGGAGTCTGCTTCTCCCTCTGCCCTTTACCCTGCTCACGCTCTCTCTCTCTCTCTCAAATAAATAAACAAATAAATAAAAAATCTTAAAAAAAAAAAAAACTAGCTGTGGGCTGAAACTAGTACAATGTTAAATGTCAACTATACCTCAGTTAAACAAAACTAGCCATGGAAATGAATATTTAAGAAGTGAGACCAACTTTTTGATACGAGTTTGTAAAGATCGTTTATTTTTAAAAATCTGAGTCATAACCAAAAATTTTTAGATGATTGAACACCTTCGTTTTAGTAGTTGACAAATTTAACTACTGTCTCTTAGATTCTTTGTCTGACCTGAATATGAATTTTTGATTTACAGGCTATCACTCATTCATACATGAATCATTTTAATAACTTCCAGGATAGAAAACTTGGCTGAACTGCAGCTCTTCAAAGCAAATGGGTCCCTGCTTGGCTTACACAGCCCTTGGTGTAGTGTGCCCTGTGATAAAGAAAAGCTGTCTTATCCTGTGAATGCAGTCTTGGCTTCTGACAGTACCCGGGAGGAATGCTTGGGATCTGTGGGCTTCTTTTCTCTCTCCCCCAAACCTTGTCTCAGTCTGCAGGCCACATTTTCTTAAAGCTACGAGAAGATGTCCTTCTAGGGTTATTACTACACATTAGGAAACTCTGCCAGTTGTTTCCAGACACAATTTAAGTTATAACTACCTTCAAACAACACAGTAGAATAGAGCAGAACCATAGCTGGGGTCGGGGAGGAGAGGAGGCATGATCTTGAAAAGTTACAATAAAAGGACTAGCAAGACCGAGATCATTACTTGAATCCCTGTTGTGCCAATGCCAGGGTTAGTGAATGTTTATTGAGTGCTTACTATGTGTGAGGCACATAGCCCTTTAACAAGGATTTTCTCATAATCTTTATACCAACTCTCTGAAGTGGGTGTTATTACTATCACCTGGGAAACTGAGGCTCAGAGCGCTTAAGAAACTTGCTAAGGGCACGAACTGTGTGAGAATCACACTTAGGCAGCCTGTCTCCTGTCCCCAGATTGTCACAGCTTCTCCCCAAAAGTGCATGGGAAGGGCACAAGAGAGTTGTGTCCTAGAAAACACACCAGGCCTTGTCTTTCCCTTATGGTGGTCCTCACCTGCCGGCGAGGCAGGTGTCACTGTCTTAGATCCCAAGTCATCCAGGAAATTCCCGTGTAGCTGATTCTCCAGCCCATGTTGTTTCCATCTTACCAGCAGTTTTCACACATTATAAAAATAACAAAAATACTTTTTTAATCCAAATCTTACGTGGCTAATCAGTATATAGGAGAGTTACAAGTTTCAGCTCTCCTGTTGAAGCCAGCTGCTAGGAATAGTGTCGAAGCCATGCATTCCCCTGCCTGCTCATCCTTCAGGGCCTGGGGAGAGCAGTGTTAGAAATCACCACCTCCACCAGGCTTGCAAACACATGCTGATACTAGGGATGTGGATGTGGCTGAACACCTCCCCGGAGAAGATGAGCAGTAAGAGGCCTTTTTTGTAGGTAGTCCATGCCCAAGTTGGCAAATGCAAATATTTGCAAATGAAGGTTTCACAGAGAGGAAGAGTGGAGAAGTTGTCTGTGAGTTTAAAGCTTGTGTTTTTGTTTGGGATGTCTGGAGCTGAGTGTTATCCAAGCTCAGAACTTGAGTGGACCAGGGCCATCCTCAGCCCTACTCCATTCAGTTGGCAGGTAAAGTGCCAACATTCAATATCCTCACTTAAATACATGACTAGGAGGTTAGGAAACCGGGACTTTTCAAGTTTTTAGCAGATAGGACCACAAAATAAGGAAGTTATTCTATCAACATTTCCCCTGATGTCTCCCTACATATATGGCTATTGGCATGGCTCCCCCTTTATGTACTTCAGATCTTTTCCTCTTAAACATACACCTCCACACTGTAGTGTAGGTCTTGGTAAGCTAGGTTAGCCAAAGGGGAGGACTCCTTTACCGAGGTCGAAGGCAGCCCTGAGCTCCCTCCAACACCCAAAACATTCTTAAGGGACCTGCTTGGGTCCTTTTCCTGTAACCTCGCACCTAAATCTTAAGCTTGATCAGGGACCATCGGTCTAGAGGCAGAAAAACCCAAAAGGTAGCTTCCCTTCTTCCTTAGTGACACTGGTCTAACCTGCCCACCCCAGGCCTGACCTGTTGCAGCCCAAAGGAACAGGAGAGAGGAAATTTGAGGAATGGAGGCAGGGAAGGAAAAGGCTAGAGAACTTTAAGTGTACTCAAGATTTAACACCTTCCGTGTTCACACTGAAAACTTTATCATTTAGCACAGTAGTCCAACAAAATTGCTCTGTCCTTCACCCTGACTCATCCCTTTAGGAAAAGAAAAGGGAGGGGAAAGCAAAGAGTGGTAGCCAGAGGCCAACCACAAGCCATCTCATTCCCAGAACTTTGTTCTAAGAAGAAGAGGGGAAAACTATATGCGAGTATATATGTGTGAAAATGTTGAATGCAGAGTACCCATATTAATTTAAAATTGGAAAGAGGCTTAAATATTTGGTAATAATAAAATATTAAATTATATAATCAATTGTGCATGGTATGCAGACAAAAATAAAACAACACTATAGGATTATACAAATATTTTTTTTTTTAAAGATTTTATTTATTTATTTGAGACAGAATGAGAGAGAGAGAGAGAGAGCACACATGAGAGGCGGGAGGGTCAGAGGGAGAAGCAGACTCCCTGCCGAGCAGGGAGTCTGATGCGGGACTCGATCCAGGGACTCCAGGATCATGACCTGAGCCGAAGGCAGTTGCTTAACCAACTGAGCCACCCAGGCGCCCACAAATATTTTAAAATAAGTAAAAGCAGCATAATCAAAAATTACCTATAGTTTGATTTGTATGCCAATAGGCAAAAATCCGAAAGGATTGTCTCAAGTTGAAGATTCTTTTATTTAGGTGAAAGAACTGCGGAATTTTTTTTTCATTTAGAACATCCCTAAATTCAAGGCCGTATTGCTTTTAAAATGTATTTTTAAAAGCAGATTTTATGTTTTTTCTGTCATGTTATTCAATGAAGCTTCTTACTTTAGGTCAGAGCCTACCTAGGAGGTTTCTCCATGTTTCACTAAGCAGATACCACAGCTCTGACCTGCTAAAAAGACAGAAAAGATAATCCTAGAGAAAGGAGGAACTTTACAGAAGTGGAGCCTGTCCTATTTGGATTTTAGATTTTTGTGAGTGCTGACCTTAGCAGGAAGTTGGAGGGAAGCAGATTTTGAAACAGAAACAGGTGCTTTGTTAATCAGCAGGGATACACTGGTGTTTTCTGCCATGTGCGTTGGACTCATAGACTTCTTTGAGAATGTGATGAAAGCACTTCTTTCCATTAAAATGCATATACACATGGAAAAAACAGTTTTGCACACAAATCTCAGGTGGTGCATGGATTGCCTGTAGCCCTTATCTGGCTCTCTGTATCTATGAGACTCAGGATAAAAACAAATGAGAGAAAGAGAGAGAAGAGAAGGGGGTTGCGGGAATGGGTTAAACAGGTGGTGGGGATGAAGGATGTGATGAGCACCGGGTGATGTATAGAATTGTTGAATCGCTGTATTGTACACCAGAAACTAATCTAATACTGTATATTAACTGGTATTAAAATACAAACTTTTTAAAAAAGTTATGCATAAGCCAGTCACAAAAGGAAAAAACAAACAAACTGATGTTCACACAAAAATCATTGAATGAATTCCCTTGCCTGATGGCAAAATTTGATGAAGGACTGTTTGGCAGTAAAGTTGGGAACAATCACCCAAGGCCTTTGGGAGGCTGGTGGAGGTCAAGATGCCACCTGAGCCAGTCCATTGAGCAGCAGCTTCAGGGAAGATGGGTGCACAGTGAAAGCCTGTTACCAGATTCTCGGGTGCCAGCAAACATCCGCTTGCCCTCCCTTGTAATCTCTGACATTTATGATTTTTGTCTTCACAGTCCACTCACATGGATTGAAGAGAAAGGGCCCGGTCTAAAACGGAACCGACATTTAAGCTTCCATTTTAAATCCGGGTCTCTGGAGAATATGCCAAATGTCGGAGTCAATAAGAATATTTTTCTGAAAGATCAAAATATATTTGTCCAGAAACTCCTGGGCCAGTTCTCTGAAAAGGAACTAGCTGCTGAACAGAAGCGCATCCTGCATTGCTTGTGGCTTGCAGAAGAAATCCAGAAGTACTGCTCCTCAAAGAAGTAAGAGAAGAATGCACGCGGCACTTCTCAGATGGGACTATAGTTTCCTTTTTATTAAGAGTTGACCTTTATCTCGATTCTTACAATTAAACATATCCTGGGTAAACAGGCTTTGTTTACTGTCCCGAGCTGTGTTGGGAGTGGTATTTGGGAGTTGGGGGCAGGTGTTGTAGGGATGAGGAAAGAACTACACTTGGTTGAACTGAGCTAAATGCTTCATATGCCTGATTTCATTTACTCTTCCCAACAGCCCTATCAGATGGGTATTACCAGGTTTGTTTTCATTAGTACATTGGAAAATCTTGTCTGAATCACCCAGATAGTAAAGAGCAGAACCAGCCTTTAAACCCCACTCATGCAAAATAGTGTTTCGGAGCCTCCCTGCATTAAGGAATTTTATTTCCCTCAGCAAACTTCCACTGGATGACTATGGTAGGTGCTGGGGATTCTAAAAACGAATAAGACGTAGCCACTGCCCTTGATAACTCACCGTGTCAAAAGGAAGCAAGTCACGCCAACCAGTCATTGTAATGTCATAGGTCCGGTAAAAGAGATAACGCCCCCGGTCACCTGGAAGAAGGTTGAGGGAAAAGCCTACAAACCAGATCTTGATAACTAGGTTAGCTGTGTAATGGTCAGAGGAGGGCTTTTCTGGCAGAGGACTGACCTGAGCAAAGTGAAGGAAGTGAGAAACAGCCGGGTGAGTACCCTGGAACAGTGTTGCTGGAGCATTGTGTCTGGAGGAGGGAGTCCCAGAGAGGTAAATCCGATTGTGGGATCCCTATAAGTCAGGTGAAGGAGCTGGGGTCTTATTTATTAGGCAGTGCAGAGGCATTGAAGAGTTATTTAAAGGGGGAGTGGTGTGGTCAGGTTTCCAGTTTAGGTAAAGCCCTCGGAAGGCTGCCAGGAGGAGATGATACTGGAGACCAAGGAGGAGGCATCCAGTTGAGACCCAACAACTGTGTTCGTAGTTGCAGCCCTTGACTTATCTAGACTCACTGCTGCTGTTGAGAGAGTGCTGACCTTGACGCAGACCTGCTTTTTCCTTTCATTGGTGGTCCTGTTGCATTTTCTTCAAAGCCTGTTTTAGATTTCTTGTCTTTGTAAATGTCTCCCTCTTGCTTTTTACCTACTGCCACCCCACTGTGAGGTTTAATCAGTCAGGAGCTCGGCAGTCATTGAAGTCAGCACTCTATTTTCTACCTTGATGTCCATTATTCTATCACCATATACCACAAGGTAAAGCAGGCAGTTATATTAATTTAAATATAACAGACAAAAATCCTTAAGGTTCTTCCTTTATTTGCCATGTAAAACAATTTAATAAATAGTGGTCAATTGGTTCTCTTGTTTTATTATTCACATCGAATATCCCTTGAGGCCAGGAAATCTTATATCTGTTTTTGTACAGCATCGAGCATGAGGCAAATATCAAATATGATTAAAGTGTAGTGCAATAGCATCTCCCATTTGGGCGTGATAACTCTGCTGTTTCAAAAATATTGGCCATATTTGATATTAGAGGTGGAGATGGGTATTAAAACCAGAGCTGTAAAGTGGTATAAACCAGTTTTATTCAAGATTCCTGCAGTAGAGGAAAACAGACCTCAGTACAGAGCCAGGCCCAATTCCAAATACAACAGGGACAAGTGGGGGATTTATAGCCAAGGGGCACGGTGGGGGTCAGGGGATGGAAAATTACTAAGAGGAAACATCAAGGGTGAGGGGATTCTGTTTAAACTAACTTGATGAGGTTCTTGCTGAAGGCAGGTCAGCATGATCACATACCAGGAGTGCGGGATGAGGGATCTGGTCGGATTTTGAGGGTAGGGATTCTTACAGAACGGACTTTGTAGGATTTTTGCTAAGTTAGGCGATGCAAAGACAGACATGGAAATCCAAAGGTCAAGGCCTAGTTGAGAAGAGGGTTCAGAGGAGCCTGACTGAAGTTTGGTCATAGCCTTTGTCATGGGATATGTAGTTACTAACTGATGACTACTCATCTCAAGCTTGTTTCATGAGATTAAAAATGAAAACATCCATTAGTTTTACGAATTGGCAAGAATTGCAGAAGGAGAAGGAAGGGCAGCTAGGAGAAAACAGAACCTGGAGAGATGGAGCAGCAGTCCTTTCTTTAAAAAATATATTTATATACAATTTAGGGGTGCCTGGGTGGCTCAGTAGGTTGAGCATCTGCCTTCGGCTCAGGTCGTGATCCCAGGGTCCTGGGATCGAGCCCCGCATCGGGCTCCCCACTCTGCGAGAAGCCTGCTTCTCCCTTCTCCTCTCCCCCCGCTTGTGTTCCCTCTCTCGCTGTCTCTGTCAAATAAATAAAATCTTTAAAAAAAATTCAATTTAGTTAACATACTGTATTATAGTTCCAGGGGTAGAATTTAGTGATTCATCGGTTGCATACAACACGCAGTGCTCATCACAACCAGTGCCCTCCTTAATGCCCATCACCCAGTTACCCTGTCCCCCCCACCTGCCCTCCAGCAACCCTCAGTTTGTTCCCTGTATTTAAAAGTCTCCTGTGGTTTGCCTCCCTCTCTATTTTAACCTTATTTTATTTTTCCTTCCCTTCCCCTATGTTCATCTGTTTTGTTCCTTACATCCCACATATGAGTGAAATATGGTAGTTGTCTTTCTCTGCCTGGCTTATTTTGCTCAGCATACTACCATTTAGTTCCATCCACGTCATGGAGCAGCAAGCAGTCCTTCTTACTCTGCTGTTTACAACTGCCCTCCCTTTCCTTTGGGGCTGCTGGAGCCCTCTTGGCACGACCCCACTGCAGCATTTCCCGAATACTCCTTCCTCTGAAGGCCACCCCCCCCAATCCTAACTCTTCCAGGGTTTCACTGACATAAAGCTGCAGGCATCCGTTGCCACTTGTATAAAGTACCCGAAATATGGTGACCTTTGCTTTCTCCCTTGCCTTAAGGCTGTCTTGACTTCCTTAGAAGGCTTAGTGGGAAAGGGGGGATTTGAGGTCTGAGATTTCAGAACAAACTTGGCCTTCTGTCCAACTAGAAAAAGCCCTTTATCCCACTGTACTTGTAAGTGCTAGGAGGTCTTGGACTGTACCTGTATTTTATCCCACTATGTTTGTAAGTGTTAGGGGGTCTTCCAGGATGAAAATAACAGTAGTGCCCTTGATCCGTCTCTGCTCCTCACCCCCCAGTTCTGTGGTAGGAGCAGCCTGCCTTAGTGGTAAAGCTGAGAAAGAGACTAAGCAACAAAGCCCAGTCACCCTCAAGGTGTCCCTGAGTTCTCTGTTTGTCCATGTGGTAGATGACAGGGGTAGGCTGTTCCGCTGCAGTGGGGTGGCCTGAGGCTTTGAAACAAAGGTAAGTTACTCTTAAGGGCAGAGTAGCAAACCTTTTTGGCTATGGAGCCCAGCCACATTCCCCAATCAGCTTTATCATAATAAAACTGATTTAAAAAAATTTCATATCTCTCCTGCATTTATAGCTGAATTGGTCCCCAGAATTGGAAAGGAGAAAAAGGAATATTCCTTGCTGGTCCCTTAAATACCAACAGTAAATTCTCTCCTTATGGTCTGAAGGAATCAAGTGGAAAAAAAAAGAGAAAACATTTTAGTCAATGACACTAGGAGTTCCTCAAGAGGAGGCTTCTTTTTGGGAAAGTCCCTGCTAAGCCAGTCTATTAATAGAGTTGATGTTGGAGATGGAGGAGGGGGGACTGTAATAGAAGAGGAAGCCTTGGGGACCTAGGTTGATGGGTTGAAAGGGAAAAAAAAAAATGGGCACATCTCTCTGCAAAAGTAATTAACAGGGATTTAATGGGAAGAGGGGAGTAAGAGATCCAAGACAGCTAAGTCCTTGACACTCAAAATACGGTCTGCTCGCCAGCACCCTTGGCTTTGGCTTGGCCTGGAAACCTGTTAGAAATGTAAATTCTCGGGCCCACCTTAGACCTACTGAACCAGAATCTGTATTTTAAGAGGACTGCGTAGTGATTCATGTGCATATCAGTCTCTTGGAGCTTGTGGACTAGTAAGGAAGAAAAATGTTACTCAAATAATAAAAGTTAAAGCACAACTATGAAAAATGTTAAGAAGTGGATTTTAAAAATCTTGTACTAGGGAGGGTTTTTCTAGGCAAGAAGTTAGGAAAGCCTTCCTAAAAAATGCACTGAAGTCCTGATCTACAGGTTTGTGAAGGGGTTTCTGAACTTTAAATGACTAGTCAAATGCAAGACATTGATATGAACTTAACTTCCTAAATTCCTTTGAAGTCTTGTAACATTTCTCTGGTTTCTTCAGCTGCTTATAGACCTGATATCATTGCAAATTATACTTGGGAGCAAATAGAAATGTTTTGGCATAAACTGCCTCACACAGAAAAGTTGCTGTTATTTTCTTTTTAATTTTTTTATTGTTATGTTAATCACCATACATTACATCATTAGTTTTTGCTGTTATTTTCAAATAACAAACTCAACGATCAGCCCTGCTGTTTAATGTGACAAAGATAAGCTTAGTAATTAAAAAATACAGATCTGATGGAAGAGTAGGGGACCTCATTCATCTGGTCCATCAAATTTAGCTGGATATCAAACCATTATGCACACACAGATTCAGCCTGAGTTGTAAGAAAATATATCTGGAGCTCTACAAGCAGAAAAATGACTGCTTTTCACAAGGTAAGAGGTGCAGAGTCAAGTAAATCTGCGGGGAGATGTTGGAAAATAAAGGGAGGGGGTAGGGAGTCTCCATAAGCTGGCTACCGGAAAGCGTTGTAACACCGGAGTGCAATTTTGGAACCCTTAGAAATCTGCTCCAGTAGAGACATCCTTCTCTGAAAGGGGCTTAGGGGACGAAAGGGGCAGAATTCTAGGTGGGTCACCGTGGTCTCAGGATCCCAGGAGACACAGAACAAACGGGAGTGCCTAAACCGGTAGAGTGCCCGAGCAATGGAGCGGAGAAACTGGTTAAGGTCAGAGAGTCCAGGAAGGGACACTCAGCTCGGGTCGCCATAAACCGTGAGCCAGGCCAGTAGGGAGACCGCTCTTTGCCTGAGCACCCTGAAAAGGACTGGAATGTGTAGGCCATTTACCATCCTGTGAGAGGGACAAAATGGCTGCGCCCACGACTGAGCAACAGCT